GTGCAAAGGCTGAATTCATTGCCCTTCGTTTCACCTTTCTCAATTTGGCTGACATGGTCGATCGAGTTACGAACCTGGTGCTTGGTTTTGGGTGTTGTTTGGTTTTTTGTTTGTTTGTTGTGTTGGGTGTCTTGTTGCTTTGCAACCTGGATCGTAACTCTCTCTTCACTAGCCTAAGGTGACTTGTGCAACCTCTGCACACATAGCGCCTCGACCCGTGCAAAAACATGACGCCAGTCTCATGGGGGCAGCCATCCGGTCTCGTAAGGGAATAATGTCGGGGTGGCTAAGCTTAAGGTCCGTGAGATTGCATTTGCCTGGCGGGAGAGAACAGTGCAGCCAGTGCCATTGCTGGCACTCATCCATTTGGCAGACTCCGTGACTAGCGTGCAAGTGAGCCTATGCGACATGACATACAGGCTCGGGTGCCAGTCACGCAAAGTGTCCTCTTCAGCGTGTACAAGGTGGATGTTGCATCGGTCATGGTCTGCAGCAGCAAGGAGCGCTGCGAAGACTCCTTTCGGCATTGCAATGGCCCCTAACGTGGCCGAAATCCTACATGCCGGGAAGGGCACTCGAACGGCCAACACAACAACTGCGCCCGTGTAACTGCCTGCACTAAATAAAACTCTCTACATGGAATTCGCTCGGGGAGTATAGTCCTTCAGCGTTAGTGCGATTCCCGATTCGCTTCAGGAAGGGGAGACACATGAGGATTCTCGCAGGTTGGAGTGACAAAAGTTTCCACCAGAGACCACTAAGAAAAGATGTATGCAGTAGTCTGCGGTGGGCTGGCAGCAATCGTGCCGCAGCCAGAACTATCTGCGTGCGCCGATACAGGATTGCAGTGCGACCGTAACCCAGGTCTTCCCATCGTTCGCACGGATCAGAAGTGAGCAACATGAGCATAGCCAGTTCATGTAAGCTAGTGGTATGTCCAGCGGCCACTCCAGATCCATCCTCTAATGCCTGATCAACTGGCGTGAGGGCAGGCCCATACACATTGGTACCACTAACCCTAGGATGTGTGCAGTGAAACGCTGGTGGGTGGGGCCCTTCAAGGGTACCGCCCCCTAACCCTCCACAATGGATTCGGACGACAGCGGGAGGCGACAGGTGATGGTGTCCGCAAGGGTAGGAGTCGTTGTGTCCCAAGGTCCTCGTAAAATCAAGAGGATCAGGTGCAGAGAGGAGTGTATATGAAGAAGTTCCCGATGAAGTACGGCATGGGCGGCAACAGGTAGGCCAGCAACTGGGGCAAGTCCTGTAGGAAGAGAATGTGGTGTCGATGTCAATGAGGCTCGAGGACATGGCAGCGCGACGGCGTCGAGCGAAGTACGAAAAGAGCGTGGGGGTAAACCGTGAGAAACCAGCTGAAACAAGCTAGAGCCAACGGAGCGAAAACGTAAAAGAAGAAATGTGCAATGTCAAGGTGTAAACATGTAATAAGCAGAAAAATGGATCGAAACTCATTTTCGGCAGGCAAATCGAGAGGAGAGTGTAGTGTTAATCCAAAAACTATGTATGCCTCGAATTCGAACGAGGACGAGATCGAGATCGGGAACGATTCATAGTGGGCCAAAGCTCTGCCGTCGAGAGTGTGCGATTGGAAGTAGTAACCACAATCCCATGCGTAGGTCGAGATGTAGAAGAGGTCCGAGTCAACCGCGAATGGGTATCATCTGGATGGAGGTTGGTAGGGGTCGATCGTCGAGTCGAAGAAGAGCCGGGACCCGAAGGAGGGGTGGAAGGAAGGCGAGGGTCTCGAAAAGTGGTGCGTCCACGTAGTTCGGCATCCAATTGAGCAGTATCGTAGGTCAAGGCGTGAATCAGGCCAAAGGTACCAAAGGTAGTGAGTAGCTCCTGAATGTAGTGCAAACCGGTATGGATAGCCTGAGTCGCTTGACGAATCGAAGAATCAAGTCCTCGGATTTGTACCTGAAGGTGCGGCGAGGTGATGCAGTCCAGAAAGGTGGGAGAAAGGATGGCGAGTCGAGTACGAAGGAGTAAGGTGGTAAGGGTCAATAGGCCATGTACGTGAAGAATTTCTCGATGTAGAATAGCCTGGGCCCTCATCGGTATGCCCTCCACTGGAGCGAGACCGGCAGGGGAAGGATTCATGGCGGGAAGGAGGATCGGATCGCCTGAAAAACTAAGGCTCCAACAGGTTCCAATGAACCTCAAAAGTGCTTCGGTCGCTCTGACCACGTTGAGGCGTTCAGCCAGCTTGGACCGCTGCGGTCACGTAAAGGCATGAGCCAGCTTAGAATTCCAAAGATGAGACAAACATCCCACTTCTTGAGGCATAAGCCAACTTCGCCCGCTATGGGCACTTACGCTTCCAAAGCAAGGGAAACAGCGACAAACCCCCGTTCAACGGGTCCACGGGAGGCACTCTGCGGGCTCATCCCGGGTTGGCACGAGGCCAAACACACTTATGGATATGCGTACTGACTTGACAGCGGTGCCACACGCCGGCCTAGGGTTCCAATTCCTAAGAGTACCAGTAAGGACCATCGGAGCCTAGGGGTCTGTAAGAGGAAGTGAGGCCAAAAGCGCAAGCATCGAATCGACGAAGGCGGAGCGACAAGATGACGGCGGTCCGTGCACATCTGCCGAACTCACTAGCCTTTTACCAGAAGATTGGAGTGAAAGCTTGTCAACACCACAACCAAGCAGGTACGTCGGAGTGATCAGCTCCGATATCCTCCCAACTCATGAGCAGCTTCGTTGGCAGTAGACTCATGAGTGGGCTACTGCCCCCTGCAGGCTAAAGCAATTGTGACTACAAGGGTTACACACACACACACGGTTACATCCCACCAAGTGTTTTCGCGAACAAAAGACCCATGGCCTGCCGTTTTGAGGGCAGATCCAAGATCTCGCTTTCTTATTGAGTTGCTCAGGTAGAAAACAACCATCCAGCCGTTGAGATTGCGGCAGGTGGGGGATTTTGGATCTACGAACCACCGGTGGAGTCCACGACGATCCACCCCTTTTCGGGTCCGCGGGTCCGCTTTTCGGGTCCGTGGGCTTGGCTGAAGCGGTTCAGCATGGAACCAGGGTACTGTTCGAAGTGATATGGTTACTGTGTGAAAACAGGGAAACCTCCCTCAAACCCAGTTGGGAGGTCTCCCTATGAACAATTCAAGATACACTCCTTAGAACTAACATGGTTACGTGGAGAATGGCCCCTTGGAAGACAATTTTCCACTACAAGCAGGTGGTTTTCCACTTCCATGTTAGTTCCAGGGAGAGTATTTTTAGTTTTGCTTGTGGAGTATGGCTTTGACGAAGTTCATACTCTGCCCAGCCGTGTGTTTTTCCTTTCGGATTGTTTTGATATGTCCTGGAACCTTTTTGCAGTGTTTCACTTGACGCCTTAATCTGACCGACAAGTGTCTGACATTTTCCGCCTTAATCTGTTTAGAACACTTTACTTAGAGCAAGGCAGACTCGGATTTTGTAGAGTGTGATCCACCCAGATGCTCATGGATCCTCCTAAGTAGGGGCCGGACGCTCCTAAGTAGAGGTCCGGACCCTCAAATCCCTAGTGTTTTGAGGGACCAAGAGCTGTTTGGAGCGTTTGGGCAGGATACATTAGATGCATGGAGCAAGGCCGAGTGCAAACATTTTTAGGAACACTTTGCTGTATATGCAGTATGTTAGTTGAAGACCATTCCGTCAGGGTTTCGCGGATCAAAAAGATGTCAATGTTCTGACAACAATGTCCAATAACGCCGTTCTTGCCAAAAACATCTACGCACAAAAGCATTTGTACAAGGCAAACTGACACATACGCATGAGAACCGTGCAATTTTGGTTGGAAGTCTTCATGAAGAAACAATGCCTAGAACGCACAAAGACACACCCACACAACACCGAGCGCCCAACAAAACCCGCATGGTCCGGAGTCGCACGGAAGAACCTCTCCAACGGCACCGGAGCAGCCCCACCGCGGGCCGTGTTCTTCGGGTGCCCATGCTTTTCAGCCCTGCGGACGCGAGGTGCGGTGCCTTCCGGGCCGGGTTGGAGGAAGAGCGGGAATGGCACCACGATGCTCAGAAGGTAGTTCAACCCCCCTGAACACGCACCCCAACCACCTGAGGATGTGGGCCAGCTCTAGGGTATACCAAATCATCCCATCATGTAGAGGGTTGATGGGTAAAACCATTGTGGAGATGAGGGGGTTTGATCAATCAACATTTTACATGATGTCATTGAGTTGCTTCCCTCGAAAGAAGGAGAGTTGGTAAAAAGTGACATTGGAAGTGGTGTCTGTTTTGAAGAAACGCGAGGGACACAGCCAGACACAAATACTGCCAGGATGTGGCCTTTTCTGTCCGAAGAGAGAAGTTCGGGTCTCCCCCAAAAAGCAACATCGCTGTAGCCAAATGTCCCTGTGGGAGCACGATTTCCCAGGACCGTGCTGGGCAGTGGTCCTGACCACCCAGTGATGGCCCTCACCTAAACCCAAACAAACCGGTGGTTGAAACCTCGAAGACTGGTGAGCAGAACCAGGCAAAAACCACGTGCTCCTTTCAAAAACCCGAATCACTTGGGTTGACCTCTTGTTTGCAAATCCTCTCTATATATTCGCAAATCCTGGCCAAAAACGATGTCTTCGAACCATTCGCTTGGCCGGGACCTTCCTGGATTAGGGCGTCGAACCGGGCACCACACGGACCGACACCGGTCACGAACGGTTCACTTCGACCAGGCCTACTGGTATATACCCTGGTTTCGTCCAGTCGACTATAAAAAGAATGGTCTGACAAGTTCGGTGACCTCGTCCAGGAAGGAACCCTGAAACCTTCAGTCGGTCCAAATATCGTCGGTTCCTGGACTTCTAGGGTTTTCTTAAACCTGAAGCATCTGGTTGCGCAAGCTAGGCACGGACCTCCCAGCCCCCAAAACCGAGAGTCCCAATGGAAGCAGCCTGGAAGCCTCCCCCCACTCCGAGCGGGTCACACCTCGACCCTCCGTGAGAGAACGTCCAGGCGGCGACTGTCGGATGTCTTTGAACACCTCCAGGCGATCGACCGCTATTTGCAGCCGCCTGGTGTCGTGGGAACGACGAGGCGGAGCGACACGACCAAGGTTTCTCCACGGCCGACACGACCAAGTCGCAGAGGCAGAGGGTTTTTCGGGGTCGACCGAAGGTTCAACACCGTGGCAGATGGTTTGGGCTGCATGGAGCCTCGTAAAGAGGTGAACACCTGTGTTCTCTCGCTCTGCCAGCGGACTTGGAGCCTCCTGACATCTACCAGCCTCCAAACTCGAGGTGTCGATCAATAGCCTCGCAAAGAGGTGATGACTGGGGGGTGTCCCAAAAACCACCGAACTCTGAAAATCGCTTCCTCTTCACCCAGAGACAGTCACGTCCAGGACAGTCGTTCGAAGGTCTGGAACTTCCCCTCGGAAGGTCGGAAGGTCTTCCGTGACGAACATGAACCACCCAGAACGCAGCCCGTGAAAACAGACCGACCAGCTGGCCGGTCCCCGAAGCGGTCCCGAAGCAAACCTCAAAATTGGAGACTCCAGACCCCTGACCAGCTTCGGATGACCGAGTCCGACCCCTCCAGAGGTTCGGGCCCAGTCGTGTCTGGGTGTTCGGCGGAACAAGTTTCCACCGTTCGCTGGACCTTGGGACCGGGACAAACGACGACCGGATGAGACTCGGGCTGGCCGGGTTCTCGGGAACCGGTCGGATGGAAGTATACCCGCTCATCCACTCTTCCACCCAGTCGACCTGACCTGGCAGGTCGACCCGACTGCTGGGTCCGGCCGGGTGCGTGACCGGTCCGGAAGCGACCTCCGCCAGCTCCGCGGCTGAGGACGATCGATGGTTGCCCAGGTCCGATGGTGGTGGAAGTGGGAGAGGAGCAGTTCTGGCCGACGGGGGGGGGTCTCTTTTCCCAACCAAAAAGGCACCAAGAGTTCGGATGAGGTCAGGGAGAGGGTGTTCGAGAACGTGATGTTCCTACCTGGACCTTCTTGGGTGTCGAATGGAGATCCGTAAGTGGGCCAGGACTTCGATGACGCCTTTGATTTTCCATATCAGTCGATGGTTGGATTTCCGTCAGGGCTTGGGTCCCAGGAGATCGAGTTTCCTCGATCTGCACTCGAATCACCGGCTTCTTCCGCGGTCGGTACCGTACGAGTGAACCTGTGAACTTGGCCGGTTCAGACGCGGAGAAATTGCAGTTGGAGCACGTTTCCTTGGAGCTTGGGCCCGAAGGACTGGGAGTTTCTACATTCTCTTGTCTTCACCGATGAATGGCAGATGTGTCATTCCACCTCTGGAGGTCCCTCCGGCCCTAGGGGCTTCCAGCCAGGTGACCCCGAACGGAAGGTCCAGGTAGCAGTTCCTTCGGCGCCAAACGGGTCGCTGGATAGGACGCCCTAGGCCACCGCCTCGGGAGACCTGGTCGGTCCTACCTGACCCGGGGGTCCAGCACCGGAAACCACCTGGCGGTTTCGATCGGGTTCTGGGACCGGTTCCGAGTGCAAAGGTGTTGAGGATCACGGGATTTCCAGAGCTCCAGAGCTCCAGAGCTTTGCTCGCAGCACTCTGAGCTTTGCTCGCAGCACTCTGACTGGTGTCAGAATCACCTGTCCAGCGAAGAAGCCAAACATGTGTGCATGATCATTGGACTGCTCATCAAGGCTAGCCGGCCAACAAGCAATCAAGTCACGCCTGATACAACAGGCAAGGAACTCAAGCAGCAGATCAAGGAAGGACAGCCTTGGGATGAGCTCACTCACAGCAGTACCGGTGTGGAGGTCATTGTCGGAGACAGCCAATTCTTGGCCAATGATGTAAAGGTATTGGACGCTGGAATTGCTGAAGATACTGTTGTGAGTGTTGTCTTCAAACCAAACAAGGTGATATGCTCCAACAAAGATGCAATCGCCAGTCTGGGTGGCATCCTTGTCTCCGAACTGCTGCTTGTGGTCGGTATTCCAGATGATGAAACAGGAATTGGCGAAGGAGCTTTTCAGGGGTGCCAAACATTGGCCAAATTGACCATCCCGGACTCAGTCACCCACATTGGGAATTATGCCTTTGAGTCTTGCAGTTCTTTGACAGACTTGACCATCTCAGATGCAGTGACGCACATTGGGGACGAGGCGTTTGCTAGTTGCAGCTCTTTGGCAACCTTGACCATGCCGGACTCAGTGACCCACATTGGGGACGGTGCCTTTGTGGATTGCAGCTCTTTGGCAGACTTGACCATCCCAGACTCGGTGACCCACATTTGGGATCATGCCTTTGAGTCTTGCACTTCTTTGGCAGACTTGACCATCTCAGATTCAGTGACGCACATTGGGGATTTTGCCTTTCATGGCTGCACCTCTTTGGCGAGCGTGACCATCCCGGACTCAGTGACCCACATTGGGACTCATGCCTTTCAGTTTTGCACGTCTTTAGAAAGCTTGACCATCTCGAACTCTGTGACCCATATTGAGGCTTTTTCCTCCATAGATTGCCGCTCCTTGGTAAACTTACTTGACCATCCCCAACTCAGTGACCCGCAGATTGATATTAATGCCCTTGATAATTGCTGGAATTGGCAAACTTGACCATCCCAGACTCCGTGACCTACATTGGGCGATGGTCCTTTTCATGTTGCACTTCGTTGACGAGCTTGACCATCCCGGACTCAGTGGCACACATTGATTCTTGTGCCTTTTGGAATTGCGTTGGTTTGGCGAGCGTGCAAATCCCGGACTCTGTGCACATTGACCCGTCTGCCTTTGAGGGTTGCGACCGTCTAAAGTCTAAAGCATCGGCAGACCTGATGGAGGTCTAGTTAGTCGAACGTCCATCTGGGACGACTCAGTAGTGACGTTCATCCTTGGAAGCGGAGAGTGAGGTGTTTTTTTAGGCACAGTCTGTCCTGGATCGAGCAGAAGCAGGTTTAGGCCTGGACCACTCCTGGGCGCATGTCAGTTATGGAGACTGGGCCCATCCAGCCACACTCAGATAGGATGGTAGGTGGTTCCCACGAAGCTTTTACCCAAAGGCTCAGAAAGGACCCTCATAGCCTAGGTTAGGACCCTCACAACTCCGCATGGCTGGATTGGTCTGGTGGGTTTGCAGCACCGTTTCGGCCAAGTGTCCTTCGTTTCTGCACCCATTTCCCCACTTCCAGTGCTGACGAGCCGAAGCACATCGGTCGCTTCCACCCTTGCCATCGCGACCCCGCCTCTCCAGCGACGTGGCCCGAGCGACGGACCTGTGCTGCGCTGCGCTGCCTTGTCGCTCGCGCCGCACAGGCCCCAGCTGCGCCGCCGAAGCGTCCCTCTTTTCAGGCGCGCGCGCGCGCGCGTGCACACGTCAGATAACCAGGTCTTATATATCAAGGCCCTTCTCAACCCTCGAAGAAGAAAGACCATGAAGGGAGGACGCGACCGCAGGTGTTCGATTTATTGAGATCCTTCTAGTACTTCGGGGACGCAGATCGAGAAAACAGGACAGCAACCTTCGGGCACTGGTCAGTCGGAGCTCATTCGACTGGAGTTTCGTTCCAAATTCACCACTCTTACAGAGGTTTTGAGTCGGGTTTGACTGGACATCGCTTTGTTGCTTCTGCTTTTGAACCCCATAGGCAGACCAGAGAGCAGCCAATGACCAGGTCTGAATTAGCGACCCCCGACCGCTCTCCGCCGTGCAGGACTGGACTACGTCCGCTTCGATGGGCGCTTTGCCACTGTGGAAGAAGGCGATGCAGAACGACCCGCCTTTTCGTCAGGGAAGTAGGGAGTAGATAGAACAGAGCAAGAAGAATGCTTTCATCCGGGAAAAGAGGATTTGAAGAAAGGTTGCGATTTTTCTATGTTCCACAAGACACGCAAACCCTTAAAAAAGGAGACAAGCTTTTGCAAAACAGGGTTTTTGCACAGAAGAAGACCCTGGTTGTCGATTGTCTGTGGGACATATTCTTCAAACAGTCCACACTCGAAAAACCAATGCCCCTACAGTCAGGCGTCGGCGCAGGCGAAGCTGTCTTGTCAGGTCGTGCACCGTCTCAATAGGTCTCCGCCTGCGCCCACAGAACTCACTCAACAACACACGAACACGTGGCGAAGAGTTTCACGTGCTCACCGAAGCAGCAGTACGGCGCTAGGGATTTATACCCCTGGCTTCAACAATGGCAGTCTCCAACTCGCGACTCAAACAACGAACCCACTCCATCACATACCCATAGGGTCCAGGTACCTCCTCAGGATGGTCAAACGGAGGTGAGTACGTACTTCCAGAGAATGGTCTTGGGTGGGGGGTCAAAGGACCTCCGAGCAACGGATGGTCCTGGACCCTTAGGGATACCTTCAAGCATAAGCTTACGAGGTCTGGCCTAAACACCTGGACAGCTCAGTGTGGAACCATGGCACCCACCACGGACAGGCGCACGAACTCATTCTGACGGAGGCACTTGGCCGGTATGCCAAGCTCCACAGACGCCAGCTCCAGCCAGCTAACCAAAAGGCTCCAGGGGACGTGTTAGTCTGCCAAAAGTGTCTGTACCAATTGGAAACCGAGACCCAAACCAGCAGCTTGTGAACCTTGGATCCCAGCCAGCGATGACTGGCAAAGAAAATCAGCCAGGATGCCTCCAACCACGAGCTTCCACTACCGCCAGTGAACCTCTGGCTCGCCACCCAAGTGTCCAGCCCCTGCGTCCTGCCGCTCCAGAGCCCATGCCGTGCCTCTGCCGCCGCATGCAAGGACTGAAGATGCGCAAGGCTCAGCCACGCAAGGCTCACACAGCTGCTCACACAGCTGGTACGTTTCCTTAGTGAATGCATGCTGCGAGCCGCTCGGGCTGCTTGACAAAGCAGCCTCGTTCCAATACAATCTCCATGCTATCAAGCGGTGACCAACAGTCAACCTCACTTACTTCTGGGCTGCCACGTGCTGGCACTGCAATTGAGCTCCTCTGTGGATGGTTTGGGTTTCCGTCTAGAGATCAGCATTGCTGTCGTATGGCAGCACTGAAGGCACAGCGCTTCTGGGCCTGGCGCCAGACATATTCCTTAAGACAAGATTCATCACGCACGAACGCGACCGAACGAACGAACTACATCGTTCCTCTTTCTTTTTTTTGGTGTGTGTGTGTGAAGAGGTTGGTGGAGAGGTTGGCCAGACTCGAAGGTTCCTCGTCCTTCCTGTGATTTGCCTATCTAGAGACCTTTACCTCGACCAGACCAGTTCGGGTTTCACCCGGTTTCACCCGTTTGAAACCGGGGCACCTCCCCGGTGTCAGCGCTCTTTGACCTTTTCTCGTTTTGGCAGGGCAGAACCAAGTCCACGGACTTGATCCTCATGAGGTCAATCTGGTATCCAAATATAACAACCAAACCCTGAGAGTCCAGTCATGACTCATGACTTCCCCTAGGGTAGTGGTGGATTATGACTTCCAGGTGGGGTACAATGAGTCATTGGACTTCTTACTTAGGCAGGTACTTATTATGGACACCCCGAATCACCTCATGAGAGGAGCCATTGGACAAGAAACCCCCTAGAGTCCAAGTCCGCGGCCATCCTGGTGGTATCCGCTGACTGGTGCTGACTGGCTCTGTACCGGTCCGCCATCTTCGGCCCCCCCGGGAAGGCCTGGATGACGTGGGAGTGACCATGGCGCCAGGTGCGAGCGAGCGATCAGCGGGGGGGAAGGGTGGAATGAGAGCGAATGAGCAAGTCATGTCGATCTAGTCGTACCGAACCGACCTGGTTCGGTACGACTGGACCCGACGTGACTTGGCACCTACATAACTCTGTCGAACACATCACCGAACCTGAGAAGGTGCTTGGATTTCTAGGGATGTGGGGTGGAAGGAGCGAGGTGGAAATCTTCCATCCGAACATCTTCGAGCGCATAGGAACATCGGACAGCCTGGGCTTGTTGGCCGGCTCAAGCCCACGACGGCTGTTCTCTTTAAGGTGTGAGAAAGATGTGTGAAGCCCCTTGATAGAAAGATGACGCAACCAATGCCCACGGAGCCAGCGATTGGTGGCCGAAATCGCGAAAGCTAACAGGTACTTTTTTTGGCGCACACTAGGTGCATGTCGCACAAGCCGCGAAGGTCAACCACGACCCCGCCCAACCAAAGCAACGATACCCGAACTCTGTCCCTGATCGAGTTGCAGATGACTCGCGTTGTGAAGACTGAAAGAGCCACCATGCATCTGCAGGATCCGACTGTTGAATGAAGTGAGAAATCCAAGAACTCTTTCGCTGCTGTTCCCTTTTTTCTCCATTAATTTACCATTGAGGATAGACTTGACAGACCAGTGCATGCCATGCCAGGACGCCTCCTTTGCTTCGACGTCCGGCGCGGTTTCCCGCCGCACTGCCCGCCAGGCCAATGGCCATCCCCCAGTCCCAGTGCTGAACCGACGGCCACCCTGCAGAAGCTCCTCAGTCCACCACAAGGACCGTTCAGAGCATCGAACGTGTGACGGACGCGCGGTTTTCGTGGTTTTTCCAGGGTCAGACTCCCGGTGAGTCCAATGGTAGACTTCTAGAGGTGAACCCTGTCGACTTCCGTTCGACCATTCAAAAACATGGTTTTCACTGGTTTTTGTAGTGAAACATCCTTAGTTGGTTCGGGATTCAGCCTATTCATTTAATAGTGGTTGGTTCGGTCTAGGGTGAATGGAACTGGACCCAAAGCACCGCGGTGATTTTCAGGGTTCGGGGGCTCCCCCCAGAGGCAGCACCAGGTCTGTCTCGTGAACGACCTGATGTCCTGCGCGTGCCAGCACCACCCAGGAGACGGGTGGGCTACAGACGCCCTGCATGAAGATGTATTTTCCATCATTTTCAATCCAATCTCAACCACCTTTCTCTCTGTGGGTGCTGGGTGGCGCTCTCCGGTGTCTTCACCTCCGTGCGCGTGAAGCGCGAAGCGGGCCATGGCCAAACTTTGGAACCCGAGCCGCGAGGCGGACCGGGACCCTGGTCACTTCCCAGCCCATACCCTAGGCTTCCTGGCCCACCATTAATTTAATAGGCTTTGCTGAATCAACTAAGGGTTTTAATGGTCTTGGAAGTCTAGGGATATACCAATCGCCGCCATGCGCCTTTCTGGCTCATGGGAGTGCTGGCTGTTTCAGGCCGCGGTAGTTCGACGCGGAGCTTCGCGTGTTTCGCTTTGCTCCGACAAGGCGGTGGGCAGGAGTTGCGACGAGGACAGGGCAGAATGAGTGACGTGGACTCCAAAGCGCTGATGTGTGCAAGAGTGAATCCCTTTCTGGCTGTGCCACCAGCCAGAGGACAGGACTCCGCTCCAAGTGTTCTTTTAACACTGCTTGCTGCTTGTTTCTTGAAACCAACTCACACCACCGCAGCTTTCCATCCTCCAGGCCATTCACGCTGGATCGTGACAATGAGCCCGATCTTCTTGCACTCGGATGCGGAGCTTGGGGAATTGCTCAAGACCTTGGGGCTCCACAAGATGGAGAGGGTCTCCGCAAAGGACCTCCTTTTTTGGGATGTGGTGAGCATTTGGTGACAGCATTATGAAGGTCAAAGCACCAACACGCTGAATTTCTGAATTTCTGGGGAAGATCTTGGCTGGAGCTGAGGGGGAGGGGCCACCCCAACCTTTGCCATGCTTTTTGGGTTCCATGTTTGGTCCGTCGGGTGGCGGGGCCGGCTAGGAGATCCACTTGCCCGTGAGTTCGAAGAAGATCGCAGTCGGGCTAAGAGCTCTCAATGGCCTAGTCGTCTTGGGGCCTTCAAAGCTGCAGGTGACTGTTCACGATAAGTCCCCCCCCCAGGTAGAGTGCAAAGTCATTGATGTGGGTGGCAGTTTCTCTCCGAAGAGATAAGAAGATACCGGATTCGAGGGCAAAGTTCCTCTCTGAAGGGAAGTAGCACAGGTGATGAAGTGATTGGTCACTTCGAAACACTACAAACTCATTATGCCTGTGTACTTTTTAATCACCAACAGGCTTTCTGAGGGCGGTCAAAATGTCTGATGTATTCGGCACTTGGGGATGGGCATACTGTCAAAGTTCTGATTGTCGGCCTGTCGCAGGGGCCACTAATTTTGACCAGCCCTCATTGTCACGAGCGAGCGCAGAGCGGTGTTCTATTTTTGAGGCGTTTCTTTGTTCAGTTGAGATGTGTGTTAATATATAATTCTAGTATACTTTGTTTTTTTGAGTAGTCACTCGCACGTGGCAGCCAAACGGAGCGTCGGACCTGACAAACAAACCTGTGGAGGCCAGCCAATAGCCGATGGACAAAGTGCCAAGCCATATGTTTTGTCAACCACTCGACTGACGACTGTATCTCATATTTCTTCCTCAGACCTGACCAGCCGACCAGCGCAGAAAACTTATTGCAGCCAAGCATTGGAATGACATTTTTGCACATTTCAATGGGTTGCCTTCCTTGGACAAGACTGGAAGTAAAACACAAGCCGTCTGGAAGGGGAGAGAGAGGGTCTTTCCATGCAGTGGATTGGGGTTCGTTATTCTTTTAGAGGGAGGCTGAGGCAGGGACCTCTTTTTGGATCAACCCTTGCCAGGACGTTGATCCTTTTTGGGGCCAAGAGACGTGCCGCCGCAGGGTTTGGACCTGAACTCTTAGACGGACGAGCCCTGCGGCGTTTCGTCCAGGAAAGACCATTTTCAATACGGTCAGAGGTCAGGAATTTCCTGAACACTTGGGTGGTGCCAAGAATTTTCGAACTGGACTTCTAGGGTCGGGTATAGGGTTAAAATAAGAGGTCACTCCCTACTACCTTGTCTAGAAGTCTCCTTGTAGTCACCCATCTGAGATCTGCCATAGACCGGCAGAAAGCTGCCCATTCCGAAACCCAGACGCCACCGGTTCTCCGGTTCCGGGCCCCAGACCTTTTGAGGGATCAGATCCGGACCGCTCCGGTCACCACACCGGTCGGGTCCGCCAGAAGAGCGTGTGCTGCGCAAGATCAGCGATGCAGGCGAGGACGGACTGATCAGGTTCGTCAGGGCGTCGGTGGCTTTTGGGTTCGTTCGGACCACATGACCCCAGCACCACGGAAAGGGTGGTGATTGGATGAAACATACATAGTCAGAGGTGTCCATAAACCACCCGAACTCCGTGGTGCTGGCACTGGGTTGTTGTTTGCCCGTAGCTCCACACGCGAGTTGTTTGGCAGAAGTTGAGGTGAAGCTCGCTCCGCGCGTCGACCGAGACTCGGAGATGAGATGAGGCTTCTTCGTCTTCGAACGAACGAAGATCCATGTGTTGGCCCTGTGGAATCTCTGGTTGGCAACTCGATTCTTGCATTTCCCCTCAAAGTCAAGTCGACCATTTTTAACATGGGAACGATCTGCTTTGGTAGTCTAAAACCCTAGGTAAAACAATGGTGGTTCGGGATTCAGGCTATTAAAACCATGGTGGGCCACGACTTCTTGCATTTCCCTTTTGGTGCACGTGCCAGATTGGCTTGGACCGGACCCCCCATGGACGCCCCCCCCAAGCACGCGGCGTTGGCGTCGGGCCCACAAGCCACAAGCCACAAGCGTGGTCTGCACTTCCTGAATCGCGCTGGAAGGTGTTCCATTCGTGGAGGTGTTCCATTGGTTGGCCCTGTTTCAGAAACCGAGCCACCAGGCAGCCATGGCATCACTTCACCATGGCAGCCATGGCATCGCTTCACATGTCATTCACGCAGCTGGCTCCTCGCCCCTGGTTTCCCCAGCTTGGCTCCAGACCCAAGCAGCTTCGAGTCTGGGAACCCGGACCCGGCCCAACGGGACGGAGCGGAGGCCACAGCGGGCACACGGTGACACCGAAGACGACGCCGTCGGCCACCGGCGTGTCGGCAGGCGGGTCCAGGGGGGGGAGAAGGGGGAGAAGGGAGGGAGAAGGGAGGGAGAAGGGAGGGAGAAGGGAGGGATGGGAGGGATGGGAGTGGATCCCATCCCAGTCTCCAGGTCTGGATCCGAACTGAGATCGAGGGATGGATCCAAGCAAACGTCTCAGTTAGGAGTCCACATGAAGTTGGCTGGTTTTGTTCGTCCCATCCAGGGGCCGTTTTGATGTGGATGTGACGACGGGGCACCCAACTCCTTCCCTCTCCGGTTTCACCAGCATCTCGGAGCCTCACGTGACTGCTGGGAGCATTCCAACCAGCTCATCCACCAGGACCTGACTTCAACCACTGTTCGACCCCTTCCTCACCTCCTCGTCTGAGCCGAGCCGATACTGTTCAGGAAGTTCCTGACCTCGGGGACCCGGGCCGACCCGATTCCCTACACTTCCTGGCCCACCATCAATGGGCAGAATCCCGAATCAACTCAGGATTTTGCACGACAAAAACCAGGTGAACCATTGTTAGTCACCAACCAGCTTCGCTCGGTCGTTCCAACGCCCGACCCCTGGAGCTCGCTGCGTGGGTGACGAAGCGACGGTCTGGACCAGTTCGGAGACCGACTGGGTTGGACCTGGGTGTCCAAGATCTGCAGGTGATGATTTGCAAACAGGTCAGCGACATGCACACCAGGGGTCACATGGAGTTGGGTGGTGTGGCTCGTCCCATCCAGGGGCTGTGGATGTGACGATGGGGCACCCCGACTACCTCCGTTCGTTCGGCACCCCGTCGAACGTGACTCCTGGTCAAGATTCTTTCTTGACTTTCTGGACATTTGGCTGGAGTGACTCGGGCAGTTTTTGTCCCTTGGAAAAAAAGGGGAGCGGTTGCATTGAGTGGAAAAGACTGGAGTGTCTCCAGGTAATTTTCTCTGAGACCTCGCGGAGAATCAAGGATACTCTCAGACTCTCTCAGACTCTATACTTCTGTTCTTTTTTCTTTGCCTTTACAGTGGTTTCAGAGTAGATGGCACAGACCCCATGATGTCCTTTAGATGGGGATCCATCTAAACCACCGACATTGGGGTCTGTGCCATTGGTCAATTCACTATAAGTGTCTCACTCTCACTCACTTGTTCGGCCTCCCAAACATGAGCGAAGCATCACATCCCGATGGTCTCTCCAGTCACTCCGGCCTGATCGACACAGGAGTCACTCTGATTGGTTCAAGAGCCCAATGCTAAGGTCAGCGTCTAAGGCAGAAAGGCAGACATAACATAGATATTATTTTTTTAAAATTCTATTTTTTTGATCATATCAGTCAAGTGAGCTCAAATCCCAATCCGTCAAGGTAATTTGAGCCATGGCGAAGAGAGTTTCAGCACTGCAGCCGAGTGGTGAAGTCATGGTTCTTGAAGTCACGTCAGAGATGACAGGCTGTGAGCTCAAGGAGCAGATCAAGGAGGGACAGCCTTGGGACGAGCTCACTCGCCGCACTACAGCTGTCGAGGTAATTGTTGGAGACAACCACTTGCTGGACAACCATGCAAAGGTATCGGACGCTGGAATTTCTGAAGATACGGTTGTGAGTGTTGTCTTCAAACCAAACAAAGTGATATGCTCCAACAAAGACGCGATCGCCGGTCTTGGTGGCATCGTTGACTCCGAACTGGTGCTTGCAGTCGAAATTCCAGACACTGAAACACAGATTTGTGAAAGCGCTTTCGAAGCTTGCGACATGTTGGCCAAAGTGACCATCCCAAACTCTGTGACGCACATCGAGGAATATGCCTTTGCATATTGCAGGTTCTTGGCGAGCTTGACCATCCCGGACTCGGTGACCCACATTGGGAATGATGCCTTTCGCGATTGCAGCTCTTTGGTGAACTTGACCATCCCAAACTCAGTGATGCACATAGGGGATGCTGCCTTTCGCAGTTGCAGCTCCTTGGTGAACTTGACCATCCCAGACTCGGTGACCCACATTCGGACTAGGGCCTTTCAGGCTTGCAGCTCCTTGGCGAGCTTGACCATCCCAAACTCTGTGACGCACATAGAGGAGGAGGCCTTTTGCGGTTGCAGGTCTTTGGTGAACTTGACCATCCCAAACTCAGTGACACACATTACTTCTGGTGCCTTTGAGATTTGCACCTCTTTGGCAAGCTTGACAATCCCAAACTCAGTGACCCACATTCAGTTTGCAGCCTTTGCTGGTTGCAGCTCTTTGGTAGACGTGACCATCCCGGACTCTGTGACCCACATTGGGTTTGAGGCTTTTGCGAGTTGCAAGTCATTGGCAAACTTGACCATCCCAAACTCTGTGACGCACATCGAGGAATATGCTTTTGCATATTGCAGCTCCTTGGCGAGCTTGACCATCCCAGACTCGGTGACCTACATCAGGGATAGCGCCTTCCAGGATTGCAGCTCCTTGGCGAGCTTGACCATCCCAGACTCGGTGACCCACATTGGGAACTATGCCTTTCACGGTTGCAGCTCTTTGGTAAACTTGACCATCCCGGACTCGGTGACCCACATTGGGGACGGTGCCTTTCAAAAGTGCAGCTCTTTGGTGAACTTGACCATCCCTGACTCGGTGACCCACGTCGGGGATCGCGCCTTTGCATATTGCAGCTCTTTGGCAAACTTGACCATCCCAAACTCTGTGACGCACATAGGGAAAGACCCCTTTCACGGTTGCAGCTCTTGGGTGAACTGAACGCGGTCAAGGTGCTCACAACCGGGGCGACGCCGTGTCTCGCTCCACGAGCGAAACAGTCGGGGCGATTTCCGGTCGGGCGAGGCCGCGTCACGGTCCAGCGACCGAAGTCATTGGGTGCTTGGCCTCTCAGCAAGTTCGAAGCCTCTCAGATGCTTAGCCTCTCAGGTCCATAGTCTCTGTTGGTTTAGATTCCCGAAACTTCCGATCGACCATGAAGAAACCATGGGAACGAGCTGGAGCTGGCTTTTGTGATTCGAATCCTTCGTTGCTTGGCTCGTTGGCCTATTCATAGTGCTTGGAAGAAGCTCTGTCCGCAGTAAGCGCTGGGAGCCGCCCTGCGGCGCTGTCCATCGGACCTGGCAGTCCGGCGCCTGCGGGCCTACCCCGGGTGGGGTCGAACGCCGGTACGGTGCTTCCGAAAAAGACCGAGCGGCTCGAACATGAAGGTCGGGGCCCAAGGATGTAGAACAGGAAGTCAGTATATATCCCACGACGAGTTCCGGGGTAGTTCAATAAACCTAGGCAAGGGCAAACGGTCTTTTTTGTTTCTAAGTCAAACCTTGGACTCGCAGAGTCAGAAGCCATGTTGCACGGCGCATTTCGGTCCAGGCCGCTCAAGATTGACCCCAAGCTCCAGGATGATCGCTCCAAAACTGGGGCTGGGTTTTAATTCTGCCCTGCAGGGTTTCTTTTCCGCCCTGTGCAGTCCTGGTAGTTCCCGCCCTGGAGGATTGTGCCCTGCAGAGGTTTCTGTTCCTGCCCTGCGGGGTTTGTTTTCTGCCCTGCAGGGGATTCTTTCCTGCCCTGCAGGGTTTCTTTCCTGCCCTGCGGAGGTTTCTTTTCTGCCCTGCCCGGGGGTTTCCTTTCTGCCCTGTGTGTTTCCTTTCCACCCTCAAGGGGTTTTCATTTCTGCTTTGCAAGTCTTTTTTGCCCTGCAGGGGTTTCTTTTTCCTGCCCTGCAGGGTTTCTTTCCTGCCCTGCTGGGGCTTCTTTTCTGCCCTGCAGAGGTTTCTTTCCTGCCCTGCTGGGGTTTCTTTTCTGCTTGCAGGGTTTTCTGCCCAAGGGTTTCTTTCTGGCACTGCAGGGGTTTCTTTCCTGTCCTGCAGGGGCTTCTTTTCTGCCCTCCAGGGTTTCTTTCCTGCCCTGCTGGGGTTTCTTTTCTGCCCTGCAGGGGTTTCTTTCCTGCCCTGCAGGGGTATCCTTTCCATCCTGAGGAAGGTCCTCGTCGAACTGCAGGAGTCACTTCTTGTGTTTCCTTTCCACCCTCAAGGGGTTTTCTTTTCTGCTCTGCAAGTCTTTTTTGCCCTGCAGGGGTTTCTTTTTCCTGCCCTGCAGGGTTTCTTTCCTGCCCTGCTGGGGTGTCTTTTCTGCCCTGCAGAGGTTTCTTTCCTGCCCTGCTGGGGTTTCTTTTCTGCTTGCAGGGTTTTTCTGCCCAAGGGTTTCTTTCTGGCACTGCAGGGGTTTCTTTCCTGTCCTGCAGGGGCTTCTTTTCTGCCCTCCAGGGTTTCTTTCCTGCCCTGCTGGGGTTTCTTTTCTGCCCTGCAGGGGTGTCTTTCCCTGCAGGGGTTTCTTTTGATTCTTTGCAGGAGTCACTTCTTGACCCTACGAGGGTTTCCTTTCTGCCCTGTGTGTTTCCTTTCCACCCCCAAGGGGTTTTCATTTCTGCTTTGCAAGTCTTTTTTGCCCTGCGGGGGTTTCTTTTCCTGCCCTGCAGGGTTTTTCTCCTGCCCTACAGGGGCTTCTTCCCTGCCCTGCGGAGGTTTCTTTTCTGCCCTGCCAGCGTTCCTTTTCCACCCTGCGCAGGCACCCTGTGCAGGGTTCTCCCTGTGCAGGGTTCTTCTTCCACCCTGTGCAGGGTTCCTTTTCCACCCTGTGCAGGGTTCTTTTCCACCCGGCGCAGGATTCCTTTTTCACCGTGTGCCGGATTCCTTTTCCACCCTGTGCCCTGTGCAGGGTTCTTTTTCCACCCTGTGCAGGGTTCCTTGTCCACCCTGCGCAGGCACCCTGTGCAGGGTTTCTTTCCTGCCCTGCTGGGGTTTCTTTTCTGCCCTGGGGTTTCTTTCCTGCCCTGCAGGGGTATCCTTTCCATCCTGAGGAAGGAGTCACTTCTTGACCCTACGAGGGTTTCCTTTCTGAAGGGGTTTTCTTTTCTGCAGGGTGGAAAAGGATCCCTGCACAGAGTGGAAAAGGAACCCTGAAAAGGAATCCTGCACAGGGTGGAAAAGGCACAGTGTGGAAAACGAAGCCTGCACAGGTGGAAAAAGAACCCTGCACGGGGTGGAAAAGGAACCCTGCACAGGTGGAAAAAGAACCGTGCACAGGGTGGAAAAAGAACCCTGCACAGGGTGGAAAAGGAACCCTGCACAGGGTGGAAAAGGATCCCTGCACAGAGTGGAAAAGGAACCCTGAAAAGGAATCCTGCATAGGGTGGAAAAGGAACCCTGCACAGGGGAGAACCCTGCACAGGGTGCCTGCGCAGTGTGGAAAAGGAACCCTGCGCAGGGTGGAAAAAGAACCCTGCGCAGGGTGGAAAAGGAACCCTGCGCAGGGTGGAAAAGGAACCCTGAAAAGGAATCCTGCACAGGGTGGAAAAGGAACCCTGCACAGGGAGAACCCTGCACAGGGTGCCTGCGCAGTGTGGAAAAGGAACCCTGCGCAGGGTGGAAAAGGAACCCTGCACAGGGTGGAAAAGGAACCCTGCGCAGGGTGGAAAAGGAACCCTGCACAGGGTGGAAAAGGAACCCTGCGCTGGGTGGAAAAAGAACCCTGCACAGGGTGGAAAAAGAACCCTGCACAGGGTGGAAAAAGAATCCTGCAAAGGGTGGAAAAGGAACCCTGCACAGGGAGAACCCTGCACAGGGTGCCTGCGCAGTGTGGAGAAGGAACCCTGCACAGGGTGGAAAAGGAACGCTGCACAGGGTGGAAAAGGAACCCTGCACAGAGTGGAAAAGGAACCCTGTACAGGGTGAGAAAAGAACCCTGCACAGGGTTAAAAAAAAGCCCACGCGTGACAAGGTGGAAATAGAACCCAAACAGGGCGGAAAAAAAACCATGCCCTCCAAAACTGCCCAGCCTGCCCAGCCTCTTCCAGTTGCCTCTACAGTAGACCACTTATGCTGGTACCGTTCAGTGTCCATTCCCCTTCCAAAAGAAGTCGACGTTCAAAAGTCGAATGCCTTCCAAGATCCCAAAAACTGCTGGTCTCTCCCCCTTCGACCGCCCCGCCCCTGCCCCGTCCGCCCCCCGAATCGACCGCGCGAGGCCAGCGCTCGGAGGCGAGCACCGATCACGAGGACACCGACGACACCGCGACGCGAGGACCTCCGCGTCCTCCGGTCGAGGAAGGCCCGTTGTGACGTGGACGGGGGGTGGAAGGCGGTTCCAGTCCGGTGGAGGTTTGGGGAGGTCGGAGGTGAGGAAGTGATAGGTGGTGTAGTTTTTTCTTTTTTGGTTTTTGGGGTTGAACATGGAGAAGAGACGCTGAGGGGGAGACTTCTTTCCGTACACCCAGGATTCCTGGACCATCATGGTTTTCAACGGCCCCGACCGAACAACCATGGGTTTTACCAAGGATTCTTTGTGAACGACAAAACCAGCTCTGGTCACCCACTTTTTGATTGAAGGGGACCGGAGCCGTAAACAGCTTGCACCAGTTTCTGAACCCCTAGGCTTCCAACCACCATGAATTCAAGATAGTTTAATAGGCTGAATCCCGAATCAACTAAGGATTTTACACTATACACACCAGTGAGGAACCATTTGTTTAATGGTCGAACGGAAGTCGACAGGGTATACGGCCCCAGCCCTTGAGACAGCTTCAGAGTCAGAGTTCAACCCTGGCCGTGGTTTTCCCCTGAATCCATCCTAATCCATCCATTTTCATTCCAGACCACCTGGACCACAACAGCTTGCACCCACTTCTGTATTTCACCCGTGGCTCCGTGCTGAGTCGCCCGTGCTCCGAAAGGGACCGACTCGCTGCTCCGGAATTGGCTTGAGTCCTCCCCTGCCCGTCTAGCCGCGCGTTCGACCACGAAGTGCATTCATGTCAAGAGAGGTTGAGAGGAGGTCGCTTCATTCGGACCCTGGGATCCTGTGGTACAGACCAGCGATGGGCGAGCAAGACCAGCTGTGCAAAAACCTCTCTTGATCGATCCATGTCGGAAGCGGACGACGAACCAAGAACAGTGGCCGCCGTGGCCTTTTCACTAATGGTGGTGACCATTGGAATCGTGCAAACTATATATATATATAGATATTTAGACCCTGAAGTTGGGGGCCCAAGTTGGCGGAATCATATTGGTCAAACAGGAACTGTTTTGGCCACCAGATGCAAAGCTCTTGGATACTGGAGTTGTTGAACATGTCTCTGTCAGAGTACTGTTCAAGAGAAACACAGTGACATGCTGCAAGGGAGAAGATATTGACACGAACATCATTGACTCGAATGTGTTACTTGAGGTCAATATTCCATATGGTGAAAAATACATTGTTGACCGGGCTTTTAAGAGGTGCAAAAAATTGGCCATGGTGACAATACCCAACTCAGTGAAACAGATTGGGGAATATGCTTCTCACTGCTGCAGTGAACTTGACCATACTGAATTTAGTGACACACATTGGGAATTGGGCCTTTGCATGCTTGCCGGTCTTTGGTACAAATGACACTTCCAAACTCAGTGACCAACATCAGTGATGGCGCCTTTCATGGCTGCAGATCTTTGGTACAGTTGACAATCCCCAACTCAGTGACTCGCGTAGGAATTGTTGCCTTTTCTGGTTGCACCTCTTCCCAAATTCTGCGACCTACATCGGGAGGCGGGCATTTGCTGAATGCATTCAATTGAAAGAGCTTACGCCATCCGTAACGAGAAAACCCACATTGATCATTTTGCCTTTGCTGCATGCCCTGTAGAAAAGTGTATTGAAGCATCAGTGGGCCAAGCATCTGTAGAAAGTTGATGCGATTGTTTGACTTTGTTTAGTTCCCCACCTGTCAGGTGAGGGTTGTTGGATTTACGCCAGCCCCGTCTCCTCCTCCCCCCGTCCTCCGCGTCCTCCTCGTCCTCCGCCGCCTCCTCCTCCTCCACCTCCTCCGCCGGACCTCATCCGCGCCCAGTGTTCCCTGCCGACCTCAACCTCGAGCTCGAGACCCAAGTGTGCCCCACCGGACCTCAACCGCGACCATCCGCGCCCAGTGTTCCCTGCCGGACCTCAACCACGACCATCCGCGCCCAGTGTTCCCTGCCGGACCTCAACCGCAAGCTTCAGACCCAAGTGCTCCCCACCGGACCTCAACCGCGACCATCCGCCCCTCAACCACGACCATCCGCG